ACTTACTATATAGGTGCACTTTGTAGTTCTACAATTACAGACTGTAGTCCATCTGTCATCAGAGATGATAGCTCATTTGCTGCTGCACAGTTTGTATTGGTCATCCTCTAGTCCTTCATCAGTGGTCACAGGACGCTGTTGGCTGGATATTTTTGGTTGGTGGACTGTTCTCAGTCCAGCAGTGACACTGAGGTGTTTAAAAACTCTGTCTGATCTACTCGTACCAGCACAACACACACTGACACACCACCACCACATCAGTGTTACTGCAGTGCCGAGAATGCCAAATAGCACCTGCTCTGTAAGGGTCCATGGGGGTCCTGACCACTGAAGAACAGGGTAAAAGGGGGCTAACAAAGTATGCAGAGAAACAGATGGACTACAGTCTGTAATTGTAGAACTACGAAGAGCACCTATATAGTAAGTGGAGCTGATAAAATAGACAATGAGCATAGAAACAAGGAATTGGTCATAATATTATGCGTGATCTGTGTAAGTGGTGATGTGTACCTCATTGTTTGATTCATTTAGTAGTTTATCTATGTGTTTAAGTTATGTGATTTAACACACTACCAGTTACCAACTTACACTTAGTTACCAATATCAGGTTTCCATGTTCATATAGCTCACCTTAGTTGTGGTTATTTTACTATCTTGCACACTGTTTAAAATCTTGACAAGATAATGCAAGATTTTGATTTTTATTTTGTTCCTACACATGCCTTATTCGAAAAACAGATTGACTAAACAAATACTGACATATATACTGAACACTGAATTCACCCAAGAGAGGCCACCAAGAGAGTCAAATCTTGCCTAGGGCCTTCTATAGTCTAGAGCCAGCCCTGACAGCCCTGTACAGACAGCTCTAAAGGGAAAGTCTTCTTTAAACATAGAAAAGTAAGTGTTGGAGTGTAGCTACTTGAGGTGTCATCTCTTCTCACTAAGTTCACTTTGTGAATGTGAACTCATATGAATTCATACCACATCAGCTTCATGTGGGTGGCACTTTACTGTCATCATGTGTTCGGGATGGTAAATAACATGTTGCAGAAAATTAATGCAGGCAGAAGTCGACAAAAAACAGTGGCAAGCACCAAGGGTGGGTGAGTAGGGCCATTGCCGGGGCCCCAGAGGCCCTCAGACCACAAGGAAGGGCTCAAATTATTCAGAAAAATCCACTGCATATATTATATGAACAAACAGCCATGGATTTTGTACAAATGACTAAATAAATGAAGAAATATAATCTGTTTTAAGGCCCCTCTAATTTTATGTTGTTATTCACTCATGGGGTATTGTTGTAAACAAAAAAAAATTCCAAACAAAAAAGAAGCACATTTTCTTGCAGAAAGAGGACATGAACACAAACATGAACTATTGTTTAATCTCACTTACCAGGTATTCATATTCACTCATTATGTGTTTATTGTTGAGTTCAAGGGGTGAACTAAAGATGCTTGTGCCTAGGGCCATGACCAGTCCATGCATGTTGATAAATATTGTGATCCATTAGTACATATACACATACTGTCACAGAAATGACAAAAAATCTGAGTTTAATTCATCATTTGTTTGTTACATGCATTCTAAACACTGACTTTAATCCCATTAATTGAGGTCCTTTCTGTTCTTGCTCCATTCTGTTGTTGCTCCATTTTATTGCACGGCTACTAGAGGGCCAAGTAGTTTAAGGGCTTAAAAAGACCTTAAAAGAGTAGTTCATAACTTGGTGTATACCCAAACCTTCTGTCTTTCTCTAAAATTTCTTATGTTGTTTCTTGTGAAAAGCATGCTTCTAAAGTCTGACATGCATGCTTCTAAAACTAGACAAGCCACTTTCTTTTAGAAACTAATCTACTATTGATTCAAGGATACACTATAGTTCCTTCAAGGTTATACAAAGAAATGTGAAAAGAATTAACGTCATTTTTACTTAGCAGCTTTGTTGAATGATGAATAATGGCTTTCACAGACGTTGCTGTAGCCACTGGCTCTTGCCTGTACTCTGTTGGCTGTGGCATTATTAATGATAAAGACTAGTATGTTACAGTTTATATGGATTTCCTCAGCAGAGTCTGCAGAGCTTTATTCCAATGATGGTTAAGATCATGTGATTGAGTAAGTGCACAATCACACTCTCATTTCAAATTCAAAATTCACTGAAATTACTGAAACTGAATGCTTTGCGTACTTTAACCCAATTACACTTCCAACAGAAACAACATATTTTTACTTACAACATACTACATTTTCACACACACATTCAAAGAATCATTCCAAATCTCAAAGGCCAGGGGATTTTTTCCTTTTTTCTTTTATTAAAACATTTAATCAAATTTATATCAGTGTAAAATTGCACACAACTATGCTAATGTATAAGCTTATGGGAATTGATTCAATTGTTGCTATTAGAGGCCACTATTTCCTCTGGCTCTTTAGATCTCATTAAGAAAACCTCAGATGCTATCAGATGGTATCAGATCACAAAATACCATAACAATTATTTACACTGTCATATCAACTAATCATAAAAAACACTAAATACCACTACTGAATATTAAACACCACCAGCAACCAACATAAACTTTTAATGGCTTCTATGATATACATATTCATATACATGCTCTATTTATGTCAATTTTTATTTTTCTACATCATTTTTAGCATCGTCAGCTGTCCTTTACATTGTGTGAAAAATTCATGATGAATGGACCAATAGAAATGCTTCAAAACCACTTAGAATAAAATATCTTTACACTACTTTAATAAAATGTTAAAAACGTTTTGGCTTTCTCCTGTAAAATGACTCTTTTGGAGATGTTTTTTTTGGACAGCAATGATATATAGTATTGGAGTTACAGTTGTTGTCACATTAAGGCCACAGTTACTGTTACAGTTAGTGTTACAGTGTTATAATAAAGGTAATCCACATATGTGGTAGTTTACAGTTGCAGTATTGTTTCCATAGTAATAACTAAAGTACCCAATGAAGTACTGCTGGATTCATGTTGCATTAAATCAGCTTCATGGAGGCAGCACTTTACTGCCATCATCTGTTTGAGATGGCAAATAATGTTGCAGCAAATGAATGTGGGCATAAAAGGAAACATCTATGTCTGTACACGTTGAAAAAAATATGATTTAGTAGTACATATACATACACACTCACAGAAATCTATAAATTAATACAAATTCTTTAAATCACTGTTTATTGTTTACATAAAATGTTAAACATTTTCACAGCTGTAGTGAATTTCATTGAGGCGCTGTCGTTCCTGTTGCTGCATTTCGTCGCATGGCCACTAGAGGGCAAAGTACGCTAGGGTCATGCTCTTAAAACAATAGTCAATGAATTAGTATATACCTTAATTTTTCATACAGTTTAATTCTCAACAATTAGATCAAGCAAAGCAGGAAAAAAACACTTTGTAATGAGGGGAGTTTATTTTTTTGTTTGTTAATTTCTTTAACAGCAATTAGAATCAGAGAATGTGCAGTGAGAAGAGCTTACACCTTGTAATGTGTTCTTGGTTTGTCAAACACTAGAGGGCACTCCTGAGTCCAAAATGAATGGGTCAAAATGGTTAATATGACAAAATCATAGTTTGTAAATGCTTAATTATTTTTATAAATAAAACATTAAAAAATAAATAAATAAATGTATTATGAACACTAAGCGGCTAGGCTCCCCTCAGAGCTGGTTTAAGGGGAGGCTGGCCACTTCCTGTTCCTCCCTTTATATCAAGGGTGTCCAGAAGCAAATCCTAAATGAATGGGGGTGAATGGAGCTAAGAAGCTAAAAAGAAAAAGTTAAAATAGTTTCTAGCCACTTGTCCAGAACCTTCCTTTAACTTTAGAAGAAGGATGTATCTCACTAAAAAGGCAAAGAAAAGCCAAGTCAAGAAAATGTATCTGTATATTTCCTTTTTTCTGCAGTTAGCAGGTTTTGGGCAGTAGGTTGTTAGCATTGCTGCTACTGAGTGCTGACTGGTTAGCATTACTGCTACTATGTTTTTGCACAAATACTCCATTTTAACCCATTCATTTTGGACTCACTTGGGAGCGCCTCTAGTGTTTGACAAACCCAGAAGACATTACTGAGTGGTAATTCTTCTCTCTACATGTTCTCTGGTGACGCTTCTCCAAACGACAGTCTTTCAGATGGATATAGGTTTCTATAAATGAGTTGGCAAAAATAACCTCATAATAATCTCTCAAAACACCTGGAAAGTAATGACTGTAAACAGTGTCAAGTGACTGTATAAGCAGAGTTAGAAGAGTAATGTTAGATAAGGTTAGCATTTTTCATTTGCAGCTAACTCGGTGACTGGCTAACTAGCCAACAAATATTGTCTAATGCCTCTGGTAATTGTTTAGGTTAATGTGCAAGTTAGCTATCTTAATTTTTAACAGTATAGTGGCCGGTGTTGGTGTCAGCTTTTCCCCAGCTACCTAGCAAGTCTACATGGGTTATGACTCCAGTATAACCCCGATATAGTCAACTTCAGTTTATGTTAATTTATCATAAAGTAGCAACATTAGCAGTCATTTCATCTGTGCAAGAACATACAGTAATCAGTTGCATTTGGATGACATTTGCTGCTTCTCGTCTTCTCAACATAAGGGAAGATCTCTAACTCCAGAATGTTGTTGTTTTAGTATATTATTACAGTCATATATAACAAACATCATCACCCTGTTTATGTCCCTGGCATTCTTCAAAACATAGTAACACCCATGACATATTTGCTATCAGAGCATGCAAATTATTGCTTAAGATATGACTTTTATTGATATGTTGGCTAGATCCTCTGTTTACTGCCAGCAGAAAAAGGTTTACATTTACATTTCACAGAAAAAAGTAGTCTTTAATCATTATTATTAGCAAGTCTTCTGATTTTGAAAGGTAGCAAGTGACAGTAAAGGAAGGTTAATACTTTATTTTATCGCTCATTTCAGTGTTTAGTGAAGAATAAATGATTATTTGCCATGTGTAAGTATCTTTCAGCACAGTCAAGAACTGGCAAGGAATTAGGTGGAAATCATTTTTAACCTATAATACTACACTGCCCTGAGTCCTCTCACAGATTCTCTTCAGACCATTTTTGCAGGAAGATGTGAACCAGGTGGTGCGATAAGAGCCCCCTGGGGTCATTCGGGCACACAAATCTTTATTCTTCCCATTGACAGGGGACCAGTCCCAGAACCTAAGAGGACAAAGAATTTTGCAGCATTGTTTTTGAAGTTACTGTCCAGCATCTCAATATACACCAACCGGCCACTTCATTAAGTACACCTACCTTGTATCTTCACTCTTTGTCCATTTGTTAGCCCCCTTTTACCCTGTTCTTCAATGGTCAGGACCCCCACAGGACCAACACAGAGCAGGTACTATTTGGGTGGTGGATCATTCTCAGTACTGCAGTGACACTGAAATGGTGGTGGCTTGTTAAGTCAGATGTAAAGTCAGAGACGATAGCTCATCTATAGCTACACTGTTTGTGTTGGTCATCCTCTAGTCCCTCATCAGTGGTCACAGGATGCTGTTGCTAGATATTTTTGGTTGGTGGACTATTCTCAGTCCAGCAGTGACACTGAGGTGTTTAAAAACTCCAGCAGCACTGCTGAGTCTGATCCACTCGTATCAGCTCAACACACACTAACATGCCACCTCCACCTCAGTGTCACTGCAGTTCTGAGAATGATCCACCATCCAAACCATGGGGGCAGTTGTGGGCTGGAGGTTAGGGAACCAGCCTTGTGACCGGAAGGTCGCTGGCTCGATCCCTTCGGCTGACAGTACGTGACTGAAGTGCCCTTGAGCAAGGCACCCAACCCCCCAACTGCTCCCCGGGTGCCATGGATAGAGCTGCCCACCGCTCCGGGCGAGTGTGCTCACTGCCCCCTAGTGTGTGTGTGTTCACTAGTGTGTATGTGGGTGTTTCACTGCACGGATGGGTTAAATGCGGAGGTCTAATTCCGATGTGTTCAGACACAGTTGGCTAAAAGGTTCATTTAGAAAAACAATACCTGCTCTGTGGTGGTCCTGACCATTGAAAAAACAGGGTAAAAGGGGGCTAACAGAGTATGCAGTGATACAGATGAACTACAGTTTGAAATTGTAGAACTACAAAGTGCACCTATAATTTATTTAAATTTTATTTAACCTTTAATTTAGACAGGCAAGTCACTGACATTTTCTTATTTACAACAGCAGTCTGGCAAGTGGCTTATCTGGAAAGTGGACCAAAAAAATGCATAAAGAGTGTAGATACAAGGTAGGTGTACTTGATGAAATGGGCTGTCAGTGTATTGAGCCATAATGATCCTGCAAAGAAGTAAATGTATACTAGGAATTTCTAGAATTTTTTAATCTGTTGCAGTAGCACAGACTTTTTTATGTGTGTGTGTGTTTATTGGTAGTATTAGTAATTGTATTGTCTTACTGTTCTGCATCATCTACAGGTGTGCCATCCACCCACAGCCAGGCCCCATCTGGGTTCATATTCGCCAGACCAAGCCAGTACGAGTCGCCTTGACTGAAATCTTCAGCCTTTCTGCACAAGAACTTCTAAGAGGACATTTACATTTATGAAAGAAAGTACTACCAGATAAGGGGCCTTAATGCACTGCATGGGCTGGCTTACCACAGTGAATCCAGTTATTAATAGGCTTTCAGTTAGGGCCTTTTGTCCTTTTTCCTCATTGCTCATATCTTAATTCAGTTTTTAAAGTGGCTACAAGGAAAGTAAAGTTACTGACTCTGTGCTTTTTTATAGACTGTTTCCACATCCAAATCCAAACCATACGAGAATATTACATCCAGTAGTAAACTGTTGTAGAAATACAGTCAGGTCTGTAAATATCTGGGTATTGATTTTAGTTGTCTGCTGCAGAATATTACAGTTGAAATTAAATAATAAATACAAGCTTTATGTTGTGAATATTCACATCCTAATCCTGTAAACAGTGTAAACCATTTTCACACACACATTTTAGGGGCTCAAATGTAATTGGACAGTTGGATACTTAGCTGTTCCATTGCCAGATGTGTGTTATTCCCTCATTATTGCATGCATTTTGCTTACTGACTACTGAAAGTTAAAATGCTGCAAAAACAAGCTGGAACTGAGGACAGCTGCAGTAAAGCCCTGGCAGAACATCACCAGGGAAGAAACCCAGCATCAAGTGATGTCTATGGGTTTCAGACTTCTGGCAGTCACCTATGACTTTCAGACAGCCATCTTGGTTGCAAAGTAATTTACAACAAAGTATTAAAAAATGTCTATATCCTAAAAGGATATTAGTTTGTCTGAGCCCCTTTACAATCAGGGGGCTATGTATGAAAAGTATTTTAATACCTACACCTAATTTGGATGTAAATACCATCAAAGTAAAGCTGAAGCTCTGCGCTGACCTCATATTCGTTATTTGATTTCAACTCCAATATGCTGTGGTGGACAGCAAAAATAACTTTATCAATGTCCAAACTTTTGTGGAAATGACTGTGAATGAAAGCCAGTAGGAAACTGTGTTCATTACACAAATGACTTTACACTAATTAGTCTCACATCATTGTAAAGGAGAAATGTAGAAGTGGAATCCCAAAGCTTGTCTGCCTTGGGTCTTTCTCTTACCTGCTCCTCCTCATTTTTCACAGTAACCAGGTGGCCTCCAACAGACAGGCAGAGATATTGACTGGACATCCAGTCCTTTCGCTCTGGGACAAACAGGTAGCATTTCTGCATGAAGGGTTCCCAGCCCTCTGGACATGGCTTACACTCACGCACTGCAGAGGCATCCAGAATCGGAGGTAAGTGCGTATATTTACCTCCATACACAGTGAGTAATTCTGTGTTATTGAGTAGAACACTTCTCAAGCTGAGTGGCATGATTTGATGTTTAGGAGTTCTGTAGATGTACATTCTAAATCCATATAATCACAAACCTTCACTGACAATTTGATGAAGCATCAATATTGCCTTTTCCAGCCCATGACTATACACATCTGCCTGTAACGCTTACATCAATTTTTATACAATTAAATACATGTTTTTCCTCTTGTGACTATTTACAGAACACAGTGTATTGTTGTATTTGTATATTCAGGTCTGTGTTTAAATGTGAATTCTTAATAATTCTTAGTAAATAATTGAGATGTTGGCAAAGTCATTCAGAGTGGTTTGATATGAAATGCTCTTGTTATGAAACTTGGGAAATGACATGCCATTCTAGAGAAACTTAGCAAGTCAGTCAGTTGTTCACAACAAAAAAGGAATATGAACAGCAGCCAAGCCATGCACATTAGACAACATGAAGGTCCAGTCAAAAAATTCTGCTGGATAAAAGCCCCATACCAGTTCTGTATTATGACAGGTAGTTGGGACAAAACACTGAAGTTCTGAGACACACCTTTCTCAAACCTCATGCTGACACTGCCAATGCCAGAGGGATGCTGTTGTGCTGATGTGGTGTATACTATGGCTGTGGTGGCGACTGCAGAGCAAGGCCTAACTGTAAATCAGTTGGAGAATCAGCCGTGAGCATTCTGTAGATTCACCATTAAAACATCTGCACCTATGTGTGGCTGTCTTTAAAGATAAACAGAATAAACTTACTGGCTTTGCACTGGGTAGCATTGAGAGGCCAGTGGTCATTCATTACATTAGCCCACCCACTCTGGCCAAGGATGGCTTCATCATTAAGTGTCACAGATATAATGGAACCAACTCTACCATACAGCAAGATATTAATACTGTCATTGCCATTGCATTTCACCAGGTACATGGCACACTGGCTTCAGTGGGCCACTTCAGTTTCTGGGATAGTGACACTCGCACCAACCTGAAAACCTCAAAGCATCTCAGTCAGCCAATCATGGATTGCTTCTTCAACCACAATAGAAAAATCTTCACCTACAGTTGTAGCTATAATTGGTCCAAGGGACATGAATACTACAAGCCTGATGATCCTGTCACATTTTGGAAGACTTGCATTAGTGTATAATTACAAGAAAGAGTGAGAGACCCCTTGTGACTAACATTTGGAGAAATAATGTTGGCATTCTGTCTTTTGTATGGACCGGTCAAAAAGGGCCAAACTGCCTCTGTGCAATTCTTGAGTCAAACAAAAAAAGCCATGCTTCAGTGCTCTTGATGTGCCTTATGTTGTTGTTGCTTTATACATATTATAACTGTGGTGATAGGAAACAGACATCCAAAGCATTTAATGCCTCTAAGGGTGCATTCAGACTTGGCAAGTTTGGTTCAATTAAAACAAACCCTGGTGCTATTGCTCTGTTAGAGCTATTGAGAATGCTCCCATCTGAACTCTGGTGAGCTCCAAAAAAGCAAAACGAGACCCCCAGGGCAGATCTGTCTCAGTTCCCTTCAGAATGAACTGTGGTGCAATTCACTTGAAATATGAACACGATACGGACCAAAGACAGAATGAAGCGCCGCTTCGTCTTTGCATAATTTCTTTGGTACATTAAATAGATGATTTTCTGAGGCTGTTTTGACACATGCATTTGTTTTTATTGTTTCTTCATAAGCTCTATAACTGTGATTATAGAACATATAGGCCTAGTTTTGGTTTCAAAATAAGGTTGAGGCACATTTAAAGTAATTACAAAATACATGATATACACTTTTGACTGCACTCATAAATTATATTATATATTAAGGTGCCAAAGTTTCTCCATTTTGTAAAAGTAGTAATCCACTCGAGGCTGTTACAGGGATTTCACCATAGTAATGCAGGGAGTCTCATTACTTATTGATTTGATAACACAAGACAGACAAAACAAGACACAAATAGATCAAACGAGCACAGATAGAACAAAGAACAGCAAAATTCAGAACGTTCAAAGGACAGTACTTCAGTTATTGTAAGTCAAAATCTACATAATCAGTTGAATAGGTGTTATGTTGTGACTTTTGTTTACATCTTTTGGTTTGATTGTTGAATATGTTAAATATGTTAATAAAAACGGTAAGTGCACCAGAACAAAACTCAACAATGTATCATTTTCTGCTTTGGTCTGTACCATGGGAACCAAACTTCAAGTATAAATGCACTTTAAAAGCTTGCTTACATAAAACTATTACATGAAATGGTTACAAAAATGGTGTCTGATATCTGAGACTCCCAGTTTCTAGGATAAGGATTTTAGATTTTAGTTTTAAGATAAGGTTATGTTAAATACATTAATGGCAGGGAGGTACATGTAGGGCAATGTGAGGGAAAGTGGTACTTGAAGAAAACATTTTTTTTTCAGATTTACCAGTATTTCACCATTATCAACATTACATATAAAAACTCAGAAGACTCAGAATGTTGGTTCACTGGTCATTTTGGATAGCAAATAAAATGGGTATATTTGTGTAGACAACCTCTGGTTCCTTTCCCCACCACTATAAAGAAATCTGAGTCAGTGAGTTTCTCTGCAGTGCACATCAAACCACTCTGAATGATTGTGTTTACATCCCATTTTATGCAGAAATATAGAAAAGTCAGTGAAATTCTCCTTTAATGTACAAATCTGTGCTTTCTGCTTATTATTTGTACGAAAGCGTAAAGGTGAAATTATGGTTCCTAGCTGAAATAGCAGTATATCCAGCATTGTTATCATTACTCACAGTTAGAGATTTTGTTGGTAGTGCAGTGTTGGTTAAGCGCTGGATACTTGTGGAAGAGGTTATTGTATGAGCGGTTCAGAGCGTCACACTTTCCTGTTAAGTCTCTGAAACGGCCCTCCTGCTCAGCCATCTGTCCCTTAAACGTGACAGTGATCTGGACCGCTGCACAAAAACAGGATTATTTTCTTTTTTAAGCATAACTGAAAATGCACAAACAAATATTGAAAGTAAAGGTTACACAAAAGTGAGTCTATAAGTTCTTCTAAAAAAAACTTATAAAGGTCATTTTCACTCGTTTGACTGTCAAACCCCTTTGTTTTTTTCTTTTTTGTCCTTGTCTCTTTCTGGCGGATAGCACTGTAGCTAAAAGTTAGTCGTCTCAAAAACTCAGGAAGCAATCAGAGACTCTATTGCTTTACAAAGTGAAGCTGCACATACACATATTCTTGCACATAACACCACTGTACTCACAGTAAAATGCCTGTAAAAAGGAGATGACAGCTAGCAAGAAGCAGAGCAAAGCAAAGTAGTATGTAGCAGTCCTGTAGCAGTTCCCAGTCTGTTTATCTAGAAGAGAAATAATCGTCATCAATGATACATTGTCTATCAATGTAGGACATATCTACTCTATTTATAACAGCTGTAGGACTCAAGACAGATGTCCAGAACTTCAATCTTAATTACCTGGTGAAACGCAATTATTTTCATAACAAGATATTAATTACCTTTGTTAGGTGGTATAAGCTCTTCCTCCATTTTGACCGGCATATTCGGCACCTGATTCCCGTGATCAGTTTGCTTAAAAATGGCCATAACCTTGAGACAGAGCCAGTGTTTCTAGATGTTCTCTTCTGGAGCTGAAATTCAGAGACGCCTAACAGGTCTTATCAGTTTAGAGCACATGCAAACTAGAGTATGAAATGTTTTATTACTTGCAAGTCATCTACATCCCTTTCATAAGCTTGGGAATAAGAGGAAACAAACTTGAGTTCATTTCATAGCTGTCAGTGTAGTGAGTGGCCTATTGTTCTTTGATTGTTCTGTAAAAATAAAGATTGCAGATAAACAAAAACACCTCTCCATTTGTCTGTCACTGCATTTCTACTAAAAAAGAAGAGGATCCTTCTTACCAATAAGAATGAAACATTTGAAGTTTGACTGGATGAAAACTTTTCATTTTTAATTTAGAGACTGTCAGAGATTGCACGATGTCTAGATTAGTATGGTCTTTAAAATGTAATCAAATGCACTTCTGTCCTTTTCATGTATGTGTCTACAAACTATTCAATGTGTGACCCCAGTTTGACCAGTGGATGTCACAGTGTGCACATAATCCAGTACTAAATGATGTTGGTTTTGACTGCTAGTCAGCAGCAGTTACAGTGGAAGTACTATTTGCCAGAGCCCTTTCTTGACAGTGGATAATCACTGGTCAACTAGGACAGTTACCACAGGATTTGAATGCATCCAGCATCACGTGGTTCTTATGTGCCTATCAATCTCACTCTGCATGCAAATGTCAACTAGCCTGAAATTTGAGCAGTGTTTTTACATTCTCATAGAAACAGCCTGGAGGAATAATTCCTGAAGTTAGGTTGTACTACTAGGTGTCCAGTCTTATCCACAATGGGCCGGTGAGGCTGCACGTTTTCCCTCAAAACAAGCTGGAGCACACCTGATTCCCCTTGTTTAATTATTTGGTTTCAGTCTTCAAACTGCTGATCATGTAACGACGACGATGATGATGATAAAAAAAAGCCACAGTAGGTCAAATTAGGTTAGAAATCGACACAGATAAGTCTTTAAGATAAATTGACAAATATTAATTGCTTTTTACCTCTGCTATCGTCACTAACCTAGACACATTATACCTTTACCTCATACTGTTTTGCTTGAAAATAACAAGATTGTGAAAAGTTAGTTAGCTGATAACAAACGTGATGCACTAAACTATGTTAAATGTTTTATACCATATCTATACCTATAGAATGGAGAATGAGCTTGATGCCCTTTTCTGCGACGCTTCCTATGTGATGTTAGCCATGCTTTGTACTGTTTGCTGTACAGCGTGGTGCATCTGTCCGGCATGCACTAGCCTTTAGCCAGCTGTGCTAGTCTCTCTATGCTTTCTTCAGTCTTATCAACAGATAAGAAATTCTGAACGAAACATAAGATGCAGGCTCTTCAGTATAGGGTCTTATGATTCTAAAATATGAGAATGTGTAAAGTTAGAGTGAAGTTAATATGCTTAATAAAGATGTTCATTACTATTCAAAAATTCTCATTCCTATGAATTATGCCATTCTTTTTTCACACAAAAAGGGCATGAGCAATTGAGCTGTCATTGGACCACAAGCTAAATATTACAAAGAATCCAGCAATAGATCTCAGCTTTGCAACACTGGTTACGATGAATGTCATCCACCATCTGTACAAAAAATGTTCTCTTCAGTAACTCAGCATTACTTTACTTTATTTACAAATAGATAATAGAATAAGTCTCTTGTTTTCTTCATGCAAGTTAAACGATTTAGCATACAGTATTTGGCTTACAGACACTGAACATGTGCCCAAACACATAAGTAAATAAAAATAATAGAACAGTATGTACATCCATGAAAATATAAAGGTGGTAGAAACTACAGTGTAACGTATACATACAGAAATACATACCAAAGGCGATTAAGAGATTAAGCAACATATTTATAATGCAACCCATGTTCTTGAAAATACGTTGTAGTTCATTTCATTCCTTAATATAGTTATTAAAACCTTTTAGCAGTAGGTTTAAATAGTATATGTAAAATAAATGAGCAAAATAAACAATAAAACAAACAAATACAAAACATGACTGTCTGATCTGTGCATGGATATCAGATGTCTCTGATGTGAGGGTTGGAGGGAGTTAACATGGCGGAAGGGTTTGACAGATTTACGTAGGGAGTTTTTGCAGACCTCATGGAAGCCAGCATGCCGTTGAAGGTTTTAAACGCACAGTCTCTTTTTACCAGAAAATGGTGCCCAGCCTATTGCCATGGCAACAACGAGCCCCATACCTGGAGAGGATTCTAAATGTCATTAAATGCAGTCTGACTCTTGGTAAAACTGGGAGACATAAACATTGAAAAGCAATCTGCTTGTTACATGGTCCATTTGTTCCACAGAATTGGACAGTGAAAGGTGGGCAGGAATATGTGAATTCAAATCAAAACACATTGTTTGCACATAAAAACATATAAATAAGAACCTCATTTTAACATACGTTAAAAGACAGTTATACATTCAACCTTCATACAGCTCTGCAGCTTTTGTAATAGCTTTAGTAATATTTACCTATAGCATATGCTTATATTACACAGATTATATTGAACCCATTTCCCACAGAATACAAGTATCAAAGTGCAACATAAAGCTATTTACATAGTTTACAGTGACGTGCCCCCAAAACCAGTGTGTTACAGTGAATGAGGAAGAGAGAGAGAGAGAGAGCAATTGTGAGCTCATATACATGGGCTGCATTTTAAAGAGGAAGAGCAAGAGATAGAGAGAATAAATCAGAGGGCTCTCTACGTCTGTTTAATCCTCCTTTAAACTATGTTGCCATGGACACCTCTGCATTCTCCTGCGGCTCCTGGCTTGCTGGCATGTGCATATGCAGACCCATTACAATGGCCAACCTGCTTTTAGTAGTCGTATACAAATTTGCATGAAATAAAAATATAGGATTTGTACAAAAAGTGCAAATTTCACTCCTTTGAGACCCCTTAAACTGTATGCACACAAACACATGCACATACAATAAACAATAAAAGCCTAGTTGAAAAATGCCCATGGTTAGATGGAAATGATAAGTACATACATAAATATACATGCCTTTTTTTGGTCTTTCGTTTTCTTGCGATACATTCATGTTTATATAAAAACAGTACAATACTTTTCCTTTTCCCAGCAGTCAGAGCATACATCTGAACCAAAAGGAGAGAAGCAGGCTGAAAGAGCACCTTGGATCGTAATCTATTAACAGAACTAATTGAAGTCTGGTTTTGATTAAAAAAATCAGTAACATTTATGAAACATTTATATCAAGTAAAGTTAAAATAGGCCTCTAAAACTTTGTTGCTGCCCCATGCTGCTCAAAGCAGCGTCAAGGTCTAACAAAAATGACAATGTTCTTCAATTCACATGTCCCAACTGACCATTACTCGTCTGTGCATCAGTTACGTTTTCCTTTTCTTAGAGTGTTTTGTTTATTTTCACCATAACTAAAAAGGATAAAATTTAACAGTATGGTATATGTTGGTTTTCTGAGACACTTTAGTGTATCAGCGTACAGTGTTTAATTTAAACACGTCTAATAAAGTGCTTGGCTAAATTCCCAGGGCCTACTTGGACCCATTTAAAAGTAGCAAATCCTACAGCATTAGACTGGCTTGGATATTGCTTAAGAAGCAGTAGCAGCATTAACAGCAACAGTCACAATGCTTATATTCATCTCCATCTCCAGTCCCTTGACTATTAGAGTCTCTGTGAGCCTCTATTTTTGTTGCAGGACTTGCATGGAGAGAAGCTTGTGGTTCAGCAGAACACCATTGGATCCAACTTGTTTGGAGGTGTTCTGTGATTTACGGTGAGCTAGCCTTCTTGGACTTTTAATGACAAGGGTCAAATGGATATTTGGTAACCCCTCCGTGGAGTTCGACAATGGGCTCGCTCCAAGTGATGACATCTCCGGTGAGGTGGCTGGAACAAGAAGCCTGGTTGTAGATCTCCTGAGAGGTAAGGACACGTGACCACAGCTGCAGGTCTGACATCTCTCCCACAAAAGACTGTGTGGCATCAAAGCGGCCACCCAGAGTGTCCTGATATGATTAGGAAGGATATAACAAGGCAGAGCATGAATAGATTTGTTGTATAATATCAGGATAGTATATCAGCAAGAGGTTTTCTGTTACTATGTGCATAGCCCTTAACCCCCAACCCCTTAAACTTTAAAGTGGGGAGTACACCACATAACTTCTGCATAAGTGCTTGTTGGGTGTGCAAAATGGACCAGAAGTGTCAAACTGGATTCTTTCAAGGCCACAGCTCTGCAGAAATTAACTTGTTCCCTCTTCTGACAGTTTTACACTTCTGTACTAGACGAATGGGTTAAAAAGAGGGTGTCACATACATAATGAGTTTTGGCCATTGTGAGATGATACAAACAAAACTAAAACTGGACAGGGTTTGTTTGTGCTTTAATGCTTAAATGAATGTGTAATGAAAGTGATTGCAAAGGATTCTTCTTCATATGTTGTTAAGATACTTGTGCATTTGCCAAAGTTTGGTAAGAAGTTCCTCCTCCAATGCAAGTCACTGGCCATCTCACACTGTAGAACTTATAAGTGTTTTCAGTGGTAAAATCAAACGTTTCAAAATATCGCAGCGCCACCGATCACTCTGGGGATCGAAGGGCTAAAGACTGACTTGTTTCCTTTCTTACACCACTGTTTTAAGCCCACCCTCACTTGCTTTGGATCAGGCTCCTGTCCTGGAAAATCGCTTTTGATTGTCAAAACTTGTCAGAAGGGGCAAATCGAGGTTGAAATGTAGCCAAAAAATTGTACAGTATACCTCCAGCTTAAGGGCTTATCATTTATCATTCCTAACTCTGATAACTAGATAACCTGTACTTAATACTTTATAGTAGTTACAGTGTAATAAGTCTTAAGATTCATGACTAAATAATAAACCTCAGTTTCCAGTAGTTAATAGTTCAAAATGTTTTTCTGAATATATAGTTTGTGAAGAATGAGGAACATGGACGTCATATGCATATTTGCTCTTGTAATTTCATATACTGTACTTTAAGAGATCCCAAATTGTGAATATTGTAAAATATAACCTGGTAGTATGCTTTAAGGCCCAATACATACTAAGGCATATTATTCAGTAACTACAGAGACTTCAGTGCAAACTCGTTGAGCTATTCTTAGGTTATAGAAGTATATAATAAAACTTTGGGCCTGCTGACAGGCCGTGGCCATTTAAGGGGTTAATGATCAGTTGAAGAAAGCTCACTTTTAAGTAGAACTCTTTAATGTTACCTGCTCCTGTCCCAGTATAAACACTCCCCCTGGTTTTATGGGATGCCAGGGGGATAGATTTTCCCCAGAGCCCCTTTTCACTCCGTCTTGATAGGCCTCCCACACACCGTCACGAGTTGACCATGTCACACACAGATGATGCCACTTACTGTCTGTTAGAGATAGGGGTAGAGTCACAGCCTATAAGAGAGAGAGAGAAAGAGAAGAAAACTCTAATCCATCTTTTCCTGAAGAGAATCACTGTAGTCAGTTGATTAAATGATTGTGAAGAATAGAAGTTTTGGCTGTGAAGTGGTGGTTGATTAAGTGATTAATTTAGCAGTTGAATTCATAAATTTTTAAAGTTTTGTCCTCGAGTGCAACAGTCTTGCAAAATTAAATGTTTTTCTTAATTTATATAATGATTCAACTCAAGATGGACTTAATATTTAGGCAACATTAGGAATAAAAGATTTTAGAGCAGAAAGCACACTGAACAGTGCAGACCTGTTGCCCTCCATGAGCTGGTGAACTGTGCTCTCATAGCAGTGGCCACTTCATTTTTAACAGAAACTACATTTAAAAAATGTAAGACTAAAGAAAGAATATTTCAATAGATCAGTGATCTGCCTTCCTATTTAACGGAGGCTTGAGCAGTTTCAGTCCTGGTGGACCATTTCCTCTGCAGTAACATACATGGTTTAATTCAGTGGTTCTCAAACTTTTTTATCTGTGACTCCTTTTGTGCATAGCAAGTGCCCCCCTCCCCCTTTAAATTTACTTGATGGACTAGAACTTGTCTTGCCAGCTTTCTCCACAGCTATCAATGACCTGCATGTACAAAAGAGGTGGTGCTGATCTAGACATTACAGATTACTCATTGAGTGGGTGCAGGATGCCCTTTTCATAATGTTTCAAAAAGTCTACCATACCACTTTTGTAGGTATGACTGAAGCAGATTTAATAAACTGCCAGAATTACAAATGACTGAACAGAAATACAACTCCTGAGATTTTTTTTGCTGTCCCCTTAGTGCCACCCGGTTTGAGAACATTTAGGTTTATGGCATTTCAGAACTAGATGTCATTAATCACATGTGATTGAGTTCCTTCAAGAGGCTTTGAGCGCCAGCAGTGAAAGGTGGAACTATTTTTTCCCTTCTGTTTATAGAGACTCCTGACCCCATGTAGAACTAGAGGGGAGGGTAAGCTGTGGGAAAAGCCTGTGTCTGGACAAACAAAAGCTGCTGAAGACTCTTAATCTATTTACATGCATGCCTGTACCATAGCTGTGATGTGGGGTTTACTGAAGTTCTTAAAGCTGAATTCTGAACATAATGTCAGAAATTGCATAATTACTGCATGATATTTTCAGTGACTATGTTCTTACTTTGTCATTCACAAGTAATTCCATCGGATTGTTGCCCCATTCAATCAAGACAAGCTCATTAGCCTGACCAGGAACAGAGTAAGAGAAAGGGGTGCCAAGCCCTGGCCCTGAGCCCCCCTTCACCCAGAGGCAGACAGTCAGGGCAAAGATCTCATTGAGAAGAGTGCGCTTGATCCGGCCGTACATGTAGTTGGTGCGCATGGGAAATCCGATTTGAAAGGCGTCAGGATTCTTAGGTTTCTTGTGGGTCCCTGTCAGGAGGCAAGAGACTGTTAATGACATATTATTTTGCTGTTCAGCTGTAACTGTAGCAAAAATAACATGAGATTTAAATTGTAATTCATATGACCTGCTTCCGGTGGCCTGTGATACAGATGGCTGAGCACTGTGTCCAACTTGTTGTGGGCCCCGCGGGCTGGTGCTCTTGATCCAGTTGGTTTGTGAGGGGTCCGGGCTTGGTGGCCATGATCATCATTGCCGTGGTGACCATCATCATGGTGGTCATCATGATGGTCGTCATGGTGATCGTCGTGATGGTCGTCGTGGTGGTCGTCGTGATGGTCATCGTGATGGTCATCATGGTGGTCATCGTGATGGTCATCATGACGTGTACCGTGTCGATCATAGCGATGGCCGTAATAGTGATTGTAATGATGGTCGTAGTGGTGGTCGTCATGGTGGTTTGCATGGTGATTTTCATGGTGATCATCATGATGATCTCCATGACTGTCATGATGATTTTCATGGTGATCATCATGATGACCGTGCCCATGGTTGTCGTGGTGTCCATGGTCATGATGATCGTCATAGTGGTGGTGGAGCTGCTCTTCTAATGCATTGATTTTGCGCTGCAGAAGGTCTCTCAGGGAATTTGAATAGGTGCTGGAGGAATTCCTTGCCTACATGACAATTTAAATAGAAGAAGAAGAGAAAGAGTGAGGTTGTTACAAAGATTGTTCACAATTTGCTCTTCAAAACGCTGATTTAATGTTGTGACCTTTTATCCTATCTCAAACGATGTTTTAGACCTGCAGCTATTGCATATGAGAATATATACAAAGGTTCCTGAAAGTAGGACACCAGGATGACTCACGCATTCATACATGCATCTCTCTGAGCTTCTTATGAAAATGGAATTATCATAAATGCTCCTCAGAATTTAACAACACATTAAAATCTCAAGCATAAACATGAGGCAGAAATATTGTAGGTGGAAGCTAAACGTGGAACCTTAAATAGATTTTCTCATATTTGTTAAGCATCTGTTCCCTAGAAATAGTTCAGGAACTCTGTTTGTGACTGTTTACCATAATTGCATGTATGTTTGGCATTCATTATGTCAATATGCAGATAATCATGATGACATTTTAAGCCAGCCCCTCCTTCACTGTCAGCCTCCTTCCTCTGATTAGTCAGAGCAAATCCGGCTTTCCTCAAGGCTATAGTACACTGCGATTAATGGCTTATCAAGGCAGATAACACTAATTGATGGCGATGGTGGCTAGCATACCACAGAGGATGGCCACTAGTGCACCAATACTTTATAAGAAAGCATTCTATAAGAAAGCATTGTCTTATAAGTGAGGCTTTTTTTGTAAAAAAATACTTTTCATTATAGTTCAAATATTTTTTAAAGAAGCCCAAATTGGTTATATTCAACCAAGATATTTGTTCTTAGAGCCATAATTCAAAGAGATGTGTGAATACACTAAAACATAACTGAGAAACTCTTGCAATATCATGCCAACTAAAGGACTAAGATTCTAGGAGTGTCTTACTGACTCAACTTTATTTTCCCTTCATTCTGCCTTAGTGTAAACTTTTCTTTATTTACCTAAAAGCTTTACAGTGAGACAACTGTCAAAACGTAGGTAGTGTGTGAAGTGTTCAATCAGTGTACTATATAACAATGTTGAGCTTCAGTGCTGTGCTATTGGAAAACAAAACTGTATTGTTTAGAACTTTCTCCACACTGCAATCAAAGTCAGCTTCAATTTGTTTATTAGTTAAATGAAGACTAACTCAATATTCTTCCAATATAAATGATCCAACAGCCATAAATATCTACGGTTTCTAAAATTCCACCCATGAATCATTCATTGTTGAATAAAAGATACTAATATACTAATCCAGATTCAGCCTGTGTTTTTACTGCGTTTCTTTTGATGTCTTTCCGTTCAGGCTTGTTTGTTTTCAGCATTTCAAGGTGCTCTCCTGAGGAAAGGACTCAGCTAATTAAATTAATTAAGCCAAGCAAGGTTGCCTGAGAGGAGGGGGGAAGGCATTCAGTGATGTTTTGCTGGCACCGGATGCTATCACAGCATGTGTTGGAGAGCTAGGACACTGTGCATGTTGCACTTCCCTGGGGAGCTTTTCAGGTTAACTTGACAGAGAAGTAATATCTCCTGAGGAAATAATTTGCTTGATGACATTTTGTAAGTGAAATCACAGCTGTATTTCCACTGATTCATCCCTGTTTTTGTCCTATGCTGTGTTCATGTACAAGCATGAGGCTTCTCTAAATCATGCACCAGATTTGACCAATGAAGGGTTTTTTTGTCCATCCTCTTGGACAAGATGTACTTTGTCAACTATTAAATATTTTATGCGTGCAGTGCATCTTAATAAAGTATCAACGTGTCTTTGGAATCTAATTAGCGCTTCAGTTCCTTCTGAAACCCTTACCTGTAAATTCTCCAGCCTCTCTTTTAGAGCCTGCAGTGTCTTCCCTGCCTGCTCAGGGGAGAAACTGTGTTTACCCAGATATGGTGACTTTCCTCTATGATGGTCATTGCGGTGCCCATTGAGAGGATAATGGGGATCAGAATGATGGTCACTGTCATAGTGATGTGTGGAGTGGTGAGAGCCATGGTGTGATGGGCCATGGTGATCATCATCGTGGTGCCCACCTGTACCCCTCCCAAAGCCCTCGCAGAGTGTCAGTTTTGCTGTCAGCTCTCGTATAGTCTCTCGCTGGTCTAGGATGGTCTCCTTCTGACGCACTAGGCTTTCCCTCAGGTGGAGAATGGTAGCCTTTGCCTCATCAGACATTCCTCGTCGACTGCTGCTGCTTCCTGGACTATTGGGCAGCGCACCATACTGTCCATTGCTGTGTCCATTGGCATGTCCATTGCTATGTCCATTAGAGCTAGGCCCATTAGTTACACCACCTGGGGGAAAGCAGCTTGGGTCAGCGTCTGCAGGTATGGGGGTGCAAACTAGCTTGGGGTGAGCTCCCCAATCGTATTCTATTCCTGGCACACTGCAAAGTCCCACTGAGGGCATCATTGAGAGGAGGAGGATTGGGAAGAGGGGGAGAGGCAGAGGACAACGTCCTCGGAGGATTCCACCCCTGTGCATGTTTTCTGAGAAAGGCAGCAGCAAAGGCAAAATGGCTCTGTTTGTGTCCTTAACCATCATCAATCCCTGTTTGCCTACTCTTTATCGTTGGTGCGATGTGCACCAAGAAGGTAGATGAAGAGATCCATTACTGTTAACTAGAAAACACTGTGTTTATCCACATTAAATCCTTTAAGGAGACTTCTGCAGTCAGACAGTATTTCCGTTGAAGATACTTCTGTTGGTCATAATTCCATCAAATATAACATTACAGAGTTCCAGTGTCCAAAATCACATTCCAGCATTGTGATCAGACAGAGCAGAGGTAGGTGTGGTTTACTTTTTTCCACACCCAAGGTGAATTGTCCTTTGGCACACCAAATCTCCTGTGTTTGGCAACCAGAGTAATCCTTCCGGATTCTGTCAATCCGTGAGGCCACCAGCGTACTCCTACAGGAAACACAGAAGACACATCAATAAGAATGGATCCTTCCCCTGAAAAAAATGGGACAACTTTTGCAGTCAGAGATGTCTCCGTCCACATCATTCATGGCAAAATGAAACCAAACAGGGACATGGTCTAATGGTATAGCATAAGCCTAAATAGTACAGTGGCTTTAGCAAAACAGATGAGCAGTTTTTCTTGGAAAGGACCGCAGCTGGATCATAAACAACTCCGTTCCAATTATCAAGTCAATCACTCATCAGCACTGAGTCTCACTGAGCTAGTCGCCCGGCCCTGAGGTGAATGACGCTAACAGCTGAAACCCCCCCTGAAAACTGTAATCAGATTACTGCTCTTCCAACTTGATACAAATGATGAAGGATGGTTTTCAGCATAATGGAAGCAAGCAAGCAGTTCACAAAGCCTGCAGCAAGAGGTAACTAATGCGGGGGACACAGTACACAGGGTAGATGACAGGCTACTGCCAGAGGTAATCAGTGAGGTTTCAGAGAAAGCCTTTATACTAAGCCTGATGGTAAACATGGATGCAGATTTTTTTACTAGATGCATATTTGGTCTTCAGCAGCAGGCATCCTTCCAATTCCAAGTTATAGGTGTGTTTAAAGCAACTAATTTTGTCCTTAACCAGACATTGATGTGTACTGACAACACATTTTATATTACTCTAACACAAAATGTGTTAAAAAAAAAAGAAAAATTGGGTAACACAGGTATTTGTGTTATTTAATATGTCACTTTTTAGAGTGTACATTTCTTAGCAGTTGTTCAGGCTCAGCTCCATCTATAACATCCAGTAAATATAGAGTTAATGTTTCAATTTATATAGAGTTAATAAGTCACGTTAGCTGTTCAGTTTTGTAAAACTCACAAAAGCTGTTGTCAGCATGTTTCCTATTTGAATGTAAGCAACAACAGCCTGTTTGTAATCACTATAAAAACGCTTTTTTTGAATGGTAATGAATGATGTCTGGTATAAGAATCAGTAATTTTGAGCCCTCAATTTGACGTAAACAAATTCAGCAAACAAATTTCTCATAGTGACTTGTTTAGTTAGTAAGTTTGTAAGTAGCTGAAAAATAAAATCCACCAAATAACAGAAAATCAGGTCCAGAGAATCATGCTCAGTACAGTGTCTCATATGGCACTTTGTGAACCTAGAAGGATCCTCTTCCTGAGGATCCACCACATCATAGTGTTCTGACTAAACTGTCTACGTCCCAAGGTTGGCTGGCTAATAGGATCTGGAGGGGATTATTGGTCATGGCGGATTGGCTTGGCACGCCACCAGTAGCCTGCAGTATTGTTGTGATCACACGTGTTGATGAGACTGGGTGGCAGTCTGCCCCTGCCAGCCAGTTCGGAACCACTCCACCTGCATGTGGCCCAAGGTCTTGCCCCTCCTAACTAGTATGCTTTTCTCACGCTGTACAGCACACCACCTGGGCCTGGTGACCAAGCAGCACCCATGTCACTCTCATGTGACTGAATGCCCACATCTAAGATTGTCACCTTTTGTTGTTTTTGGCTTTTTGTTGCTTTTAATGAAATTTGAGCGTGTAAAAAATCGAACAACTTATAGTTATGCTTGTTGTAGTACTGCTCTCATCCAGGGAAGACGAAAACTGCACCTTTTACTTGGGAATCAGGCAAAAAGAATCTTTTTTTTAATTAAATCCATATTAACATTCATCTGTGGGATCACTGAGATGAACCTTACTCAGTACTTAATCCAGTGTAAAGCAGAATCAGGCTAAACCTTGATTGTATCTTGTGAAATAAACAAATGTCAATGAAAACTATTCTGGCTTTACAGGCTTCATTGATAAAATGTATTCTTTTATGGTATCAACATTTACTCATGGACAGTTGAACCTGTCTTACCTTATCATACTTGCCTCATACTATATTGTTGTCATACCAAAACCTTTATTTATTTTTAATGCCATTTGAAAACACCTGCTGCCATTTATGTTAATATTTCAAATGAGTGGATCAATAAAAATGGTCTGAAATTACTTAAACAAACAGATCTGGTTACCTGAATGTTCACTGAATGTAAGAACATTTTTTCCTTGTCCTGTAAATGTTTTGTTTTGATAGCGACAATATAAAAGTCCCTTTTGCTGATCCTACTACACAACGCTTCAAATTGACTTGATTCAAATACATTATTTCCATTGGTAAAAATAAATTACATAAATACAGTTATTGTCAAAAGTCAGTAAACTTAAAGATGACACTGTGTGGACACTTAGAATCATTTTCAATACATCTTCATGATTAAAAGTTTATCAAATGATAGGTTGATATTTATGGATATATAATAAGACCTATTTATTCAGGTACTGTAAAAAATAAATGAATAATTTAAAATTAGAGACCACGATAGAATAACAATATTATTTTTTCTTTGCTGAGAACGATGCTGATGTTGAAACCTTCAGTATCTGCTAATACTGTGAGTGTGTGCTATTTCAGGACAGATTTGTTACAGGACTGTATCATATTTATTCTTTAATAACAGGCCTTTGCTAAGATCTACAGGCAGCAATAGTCTGTTCAGTACATCCTGGACTGTTCATTGCATTTAGGATGTACTCAACAGACCACTGCTAAGATTTGCAGGCAGTATTAGTCTGTTCAGTACATTGTGGACTGTTCATTAAGTTCAGGATGTACTCAACAGACCATTGCTAAGATCTACAGGCAGCAATAGTCTGTTCCCTACATCCAGGACTGTTCTTTAAGTTATGTTTTTACACAACAGACCATTGCTAAGATTTACAGGCAGGAAGAAGGCCATTGACAAGGCCTACAGGAAGCATGTGCTTTATGCAGATTTTGGTATTCAGAGTTGAACTCAGGCCGTAACAAGGCCATCACCTAATGTGCCATGTCGTTGTGAGGGCATGTAAAAAGCAGTTCACTAAAGGTACTGCCTCACAGAACAGTACTGGTTATAAATACATGTGTTAAATCAACTATTACAGCAGAACTTGAACAACATCTCAAAACAGAACAATTTCAGAAAAGTTTATTACTTGTTACCTACTGACATTTTAAACAAAGACTGATGGGTTTCATACCAAAACACATTGTAGACCACTTTCAAGAATGTCCTTTTTTCCCATTATATAAATTATATATAGTGGGCTTCACACATAAAAAGTGCTATATTATGATTAATACCACCTTTATTATAGAAACAAATATAGTTCAGCTATTATTGTTTTCAAAAACTTATACTCAAAATGTTTACAAATGTATATACAGCATTTTGGAATAAAGCTGTTTATACAGACATTAAATGGCTATTGGTAGGATAGGCTAAACTGAAACAATAAACGCTGTAAACAGTAACAAGAGAATTTCTCTTTGAGAGATAAAACATTAAACAAAACAAACCCTTCGCTGATCACTACTTTCCAACAAACATAATTTAGACACAGTATCACTCCCATTCAATCAGTTGCATTTACAAGCAGTAGGTCATATGACGGTTAAAGTTTGCTTTCACAGCTAATTTAGTTACCAGAAGCCCAAATCAACACAATTATGTTCAATTAAATTTCCACAGCCCCTTTAACAAAGGTGCAAAAAAACAATCTCATCTCTTTGTATACACTGATAGCAAGTTTTTCAGATATCCTAACTGTAATTCTTAAACAACCTGTTAAAAACAAAAAGTTGTTTATGTAACTACAGTGAGCAGTTTCACCTGCTAAGTAGCATTTCCGCACAGTTAGGCTGATTAACTAATTCTTACGTTAGCAAAGTGCGCCATATACTACACAGACACGATGTGGTGACTTTAAATTCAAATACAATGTTATCACACAGGTCACTGAATTGGTAGATTTCAAAACGTTTTCAATTAGCTCTACAAGCAAGAATTATTGCAAGTGGGGAATAAGTTTTCCTACCTGCTGTCAAGCCATGGAGTCACAAGCTGGCTAGTCCAACTCAAACGCACTGATCAGATTGAAAGGGATTTGCTTGAGGGGGATAATTTTAACTCCGTCCTCCTTTCTCCCTCTCTTCTGCCCTCCCTCCCAGTCTTCCTCCCTCCTTTGCTCTTACATGCTCCAGACCTTTTTTCACACATTCCTTCTGTTCCCCACATTTCTCTTTTTATTTTGTGCCTTCGTAAAATGTGTTCTCTGTTGGGGTATAAAAATCCCAAAGCAATTCCAGACCCGGCATGAAACTCTGAGAACTGCATTTGTTGAAACAAATGGAAACCATACAGCTGACATGGCACTCCAGTAGTTGTATATAAAACATCCTATAGACATTTCCTTTGTGTACAGTGTAAAAGTTGTTGACATTACCATGAGCAAGTTTGATAATTCACCACCATATCATTAATGGGACAAAAATCCCATTTCATTCCATCTATAGACAAGTTTTTCAGTTATTTTTAGTACTGAGAATGTAATGAATTTACTGACATTTTATCACAGTTATTGCCAGATATAAGTAAACTAAAAGACATAATTGTGTTTATGTAATATATTTTATTCACATGGGATGATGAGTGAATTGTAATGAATTGCAGCAATATAGACCAAACCTAAAATACTTGCAGTACTTCCAACTGCTCTGCACATTCATTTTAAAGTGAAATAACCTGTTTGAATATCGAGAGTATTTTATATATCTAGAGATAATTTTCTCATTACCTAAAAATGTGATAGAAGCAAAACAGACAGACAGCCTACAGCAGAATAAGTATCAGCCAGTTTAAATGTTATTTGGGAAAACAGTGTGATAAATCAGTGATTTAAAGAGCTGAAGTGTTCGAAATTCTTTAGATTTGTTCACGTAGAGGTGGAGTATTAAGAGAAAATAAGCCAAAGTTTGAAACAATAAATATTTTAAACATGTATAGTAAAGCACTCTCATTTATTCCAAAACACAACATACATGTTACATGTTTCCAATAGTCTCACATGTATTTGTGTAATGAGAAAATATAGTGACGGGGAACATGTATTCAGATACTTTTATTTTTGTTATTTAATATACTTCCAGTTCATAGATCACACAGTGTACACACATAATGTCTTCTGACTTTGTACTTATAAAATGAATAAAAAGGTATGTATTCATAAGCATAAAGAAAGACTTTAATGGGAAAATGAGAAACCAGATGAAAGGAACATTCATACTTCTTATAAAGCCATTACTAGTAATTACAGCTTGAAGATATCTAGAATAAGAAGTAATTAGCGTTTTGCAGCATTGTGATTCAATTTTGTTCCATTCCTCATGGCAAACTATTTTCAATTCCCCACGGTTACAAGGGTCCCTCTGTTGGACTCCCAATTTCAAAATCCTCTATATTCACTGGGATTCTAGTCAAGAAACTGGCTAGGCCATGCAAGCATCTTTCCCTTTTTTAGAAACCAGTCTTAAGTTGTTTGTTGTGTTTGTTGAAACATACGTCTTCTCCATTTTACATGGGGTGTAGGAACGGAGATGAGATCAGTGGTAATGATTCTTGCTGCTTTCAGGTCATCCTGCGACTCTTTTTGAGACACTGCTAGCTTTTTTCTTTCCTTCCTCATCATTGGTCAGAGAGAAATTTTGCATGGCGTACCTGACCAGGGACGATTAGTTGTGGTTCCATGAACTTTTCACTTGCATATTTTCAAACCACTTGTATTGACAGGGGTGTTGAAGGTCTTTGCTCTGGCTCTGTAGCTCTTACACCTGCTAAACACCTTCCAGATATTTACTGAGATGTAAAGGCTGGGATAGGTGTTAATGCGTCAGTGTTAACCACTATTTTGCACTCTGGCCAGGCCTAAGCATGTTTCATAACCCAGATCTCTGTTGGGCATCTCACTATTTTTGTCGACTGTGGCACTAAATATAGCTCATCGATGTTTCAATGCTGACCCAAATCAACCTGATTATAACATAACACTGATGCAAGACATCTAACGGACTTCAGACCCGTAAAGTGGTAAAGCTACCTTGGCAAATTGGCTGATGTAGAGAAATACTAGGGATGAGCTATCAGTGTACTTATGGTGTCTTTGTACAGTCAGGATGTCCTGATGTGATCCAGTGGATCAGGATTGAAGCTGATCCATGTGTATTTTAACAGTATGGATCTTGACTATATTAAGCGTGTTCTACTTTTGACCCTTCTATATATTCCCTGCTCTCCATTTACTCCACTGTTGTAGATTTGTTGTAAATGGACTTTATCCACAACTTGGAACAGTGAAGTTGTTTCGACTGTGCCAGTGTTTCCACTGTATTTAAAACAGATGTCTTTCGTTAAAACACTTAACTAGCTGCAAGTAAAATGTAAGTTTAGTGCTTTTATGGTTTGAATGTTTTTTGCTGCTTTCTATGAGTGGCATCTCTCCAGATGCGTAAACAAAATACACTATCGCTACATTTTTCACTTGCGGATTGTAACTGGTATAAAAACATTCTGCTTTACTGGTCATGCTGCGCAATTATTAGCTATATTCACCTG